CTGTAGTCGAACGGTGAGACGGACGTGTAGTTCAGTTTTGGGCACGCGTACGGTGCTGCAGGGATTATATATAGGTGTAGTAGTACCTCTTCGGGCTCTTGGATACCTTTTTCTTGCTACGTGTGCGTGTTCTTTAGATCCTCAGATGGCTCTAGCACTTTCGTGACCACGGGCTGAGAGTCTTTGCTAGATTTTGGCATTTAGCAACTGGCATACGGTTTAATGTGAAGTCAACAACAACAACCTTCGTAACACTCGGGTATCAACAGGCACTCTCGAGACGAGAGATACAGCAGTATAACGCGGACTACAAATCGATCTTGACAATCCTCCACCTCGGTTTCCACCTCGGGTACACCTCTTCCTCGCGTAAATAACCGGCCTCTTGGTGCGTCGCGGCTATCCAACCGTACCGTATTTCCGCAGACTTTTCGTCGGAGAGAAAACGAAGATTCATGCGCGTTTCATGTGTGTGGGAAGCTTGGGTATGCTTCGGTGCATGTATGTTGACCTTCGATGCATGATGCGCGAGAAAACCAGCAAGTAGAGGAATAACGTACCTCTGCAAACAATGCAAATGATAACCGTATGGGACAGGAAGCTCGGTTGGCGAGCCACGACCGGAAGCGCTTTTGAAGTGCACTGCTGTGTGCAAAGGAACACGTGACAGGTAGAATCCACAGCTTGCGGCACCGACACGGCATTTTCAGTGAGCTTTTTATTGTGTTTCTTCCGAAAAAGAAACGAGCGGCAGATCATACATCACAGGGGATGGGATCGGCCAAAAGCATACGAGGGCTCGACAACCAACACACCACAACGCTGGCCAGCGCAGAAGGCACGGTTCCTAACTCGCTTCAACCCGTCTAGGCACGCTCGTCTCGCCACCCCCCCCGATCCCCCGTCCAGAGCAAACCAACCAAAGCAAGACCGCCGAAAAACAGATCCCGCATTGCAAGCAAGTGTTGCAAAGCTTGGTGGCGGCTGAAAGAGCGTGGCCGGTCGGATATCTACTTGGCGGCCTTCTTCGCCTTGTGCTTGGCGATACGGCGACCGGTGCCGCGAATCTTCTTCTGCCTGTTCTTGGCCTCCTTGATCTGCTTGCGGGAGGTCTCCTTCTTGTCCTGAAACAAGGAAGAAAACAACACGACACACAAGAGGTGTGTGAGACATTGGAAAAGTTGGGACAATCGCTTCACAGCCTTCCACGTTCGTTAACAAAGAAGAGAATGCAAACAAACGGGGTTGTGTATCGAACTCCTTTGTCCTGCATGCTCCCGCTACACCTGAATGTCTCGCGGACTAGTTCTGGTTCAATACTGAAGCGCGTTGGGGTTTATTCTCTTGGGTCCTTGCTTGTGTAGAAAATTCTCCCATCGTAAAATGTGCCCTCCCTGGGTGTTGACACCGTAGCTCAAGGCATCCGCGCCAACTTGAACAAACAGTACAGAAGGCACCGAGGAGAGACCGGAATCTTTTGTAGGGCCAAGACCACGAAAACAACAGCAACAGCAAGAGTCGTCACATGGCAAAAAAAAACGTCTCAAAACCGCTACCATGCACCGCAAATGGACCAAGAACGTTCTCTGCAAACCGTCTGCTTCAGGCCGCCGCTCAAAACACACCTGGAGACCCGCCCGTGCGAGGCGGTGCTTGGGCTCGAACTTCTTCATGTCCTCGACGCTGTCGTAGATGAGGCAGAAGCCGGTGCTCTTGCCCCCACCGAAATGGGTCCGGAAGCCGAAGAGGGTCACCGTCGTCGCGTCCGACACGCGGAACTTCTGCTCGGGCGCACATGCGCAGAGAAAGAGAGAGAGAGGCGGGGTACAAGATTGGACACGGATTGAATTGTTCAAGAGAAGGTTTGGTAGGGTATGAAAAACTCGGGTATCGAGGTACTGCGCTCGGGTATTACCCGTACAGAAGCCATTGGTACACTTTAGTACGACATCCCACACCCTACTCAACGACTGGGTAGCTTTTGTTCGACGTCCTCGTACCCTACCAAACTAGTAAAGTAAACAATACCCTACCCTGCTGGGTAGGTTTGGTAAGACCTGTGTACCCTACTCGAGACTCGAGGTGACTTTCGTATGACATCCCATACCCTACGCAACGACTGGGTAAATTTTGTACATCCCCTTACCCTACGAACAATACCTTACCCTGCTGGGTAGCTTTGGTAAGACATCCCGTACCTCTACCCTATGGTAAGGGGAGCAGAATACCCGACCCGGGGGTATAAAACCAGTACCAAAGTGGATGCGCATGAGATAATCTACAGTTTTCGTGGGGTTCTCTCATTGTGCGGTGCAACTGTTGCTGGAATGGAATGAAGATCGACGACGGGCTGCGTAGTGGTCAAGGGGGCACACGGGATTAAGGTTCTAGACTTGGAATTTCGAGTTGACACGTTACAAATACCGTACAATGTACGATAGGCAGTCTGAACGCCCTTCACCCGCTTGTGTTGGACCATTTTGGGTTCGCAAAACCGACAACAATGACAGTGGTGATGACGATGGTATCAGCCAGGGTAGCGTACCCGTACCGACGCTCAAGCATCAAGGTGGGCAGTCCTCGCGCCAAGCTACTGGAATACAACCGGATAGAGTATCCGGCAGGGTCTGGTAACGAGGGTACCGCGCCCCGTACCCTACCAAACTAGTAAAGTAAAGTAAATAATACTCTACCCTGCTGGGTAGGTTTGGTAAGACATCTGCACTCTACTCTAGACTCGGGGTAACTTTGGTATGACATCCCTTACCCTAACCCAACGACTGGGTAAATTTTGTACGACATCCCCTTACCCTACCAAACTAGTAAAGTATACCCTACCCTGCTGGGTAGCTTTGGGAAGACATGTATACCCTACCAAAGACTTGGGTAACTTTGGTATGGAATTTCATACCCTACCCAACAAAAGGCAACATTGTTACTCTATTACAAATACCCGAGGGTACGGGTATATACCCTACCATACCTTCCCTTGGAAATTCTCACGAAAAACACTTCGCGCAGCGCATTCTGGCGAAGGTGCTTCTTCCAATGATACGAGTATGTTTTGCCTCGAGGGAGGTTAAGCAAAGGCGGGGGGTTCGCGGCCGTCGAGTTGGCGGTGAACAGCAGCTCCAGTTTCATCGCGAAAATCCATCAACAGAGCCGAACAAATCCCAGACGAGAAGCACGCTGTGCCATCGTTTTACCAACACCGTCGATGAGGTAGTCTGACCGTTACACCGAAAAATGAGGTCGTGCTGCCGAAATACAACATGTGCGTTGTAAGGTACTATGAAGCACGGCTTATATAACGAGTAAAAACAATTAGTATACACGTATGACTGCAAGCAAGAGCGACAACATGGATGGGTTAGACAGCTCCAAACCACTCGAGAAATGGATGACGCTTAATTCGTCCTCAGTGTTTGCGACTAAGATTGAAGCTTGTCGTCATCGTGGTCAAAGCATGGCTGCGCAAAGGAAAATAAATAATAGTAGGCTTCCCCACCCCCTCGTACGTTCCAAGAAACAACGCGTCCACACAAAGAAAAACAAGCCGTTCGAAGCCACTCGAGAAATGGATGACGCTTAATTCGTCCTCAGTGTTTGCGACTAAGATTAAAGCTTGTCGTCATCGTGGTC